CCCCGGCCCCGCTGCCTCCCCACGATTCACCCCCGCACAAGAGGAGAAAAGGTTTCCCTACACGGAAGAGGCGGGGCCGATGGAAATCCCCGTGAAATTTACTTGTCTGTGCGCCTTCTGCCTGCACCCCACCTCCCCGGCTTGGCGCAGTCGAGGGGGGGCGATGCTCCTTGCCCATCCCAGCTGCACCCTGGCGCCCAGGGGCGCGAGCGCCCACTCCCTGTGCTAGTTAGTGCCTGATTCTCTGGGGGGGCCTCAGTGACAGGCTCCCCCAGCCCCTTTCTCTGGTACAGTGCTGTCTGCCTGGCTGCCTCCCATCACCCTGACTTCTAAGCCATCAATTTTATGTTATTTATTATTGCCCTTTGTGGGGTGGGGAGGGAACCTCTCGGGTCTGCACATACCCCCTTCCCTAACAATTCCTGTTCTTGACTTGAAGAGAATCGACCCGTGGGGGCCTCCCCAACCCAGACTTTGGAGGTGGTGGGAGTTGTGAGACAAATCAAACTATGGATGATGAAGAGGATATAGTCGTCTATACCCTAGGGAGAGGCGGAGCGGAGTTCTGATTGGGGAGGTATAGGTTGGGTCCTCTGCCCGCCATTGCTGTCTCTGGCATCTGGAGCTCAACCTCCTCCTATCTCCCCAGTGGTGGCAAGATAACAATAAACTTATTTTCATACAATTACTTGAGGCTCTGTCTGAGACAGGCCTGGGAGGCCAGCCCCTCGCCTGCCCTGTTTCCTCCACAGGCTGGCAACACCTTCTTGAAGTTGGAGGCTGGTGGTTTTCAGGCTTTTTTTTTTTCTTAAAGCCACCAGGTTCTGTGTTCAAATGAGATCTTATTCCTACTCATTTTTCGACACTAGCCTATAAATGCCACTTCCAGGAGAATGTTCTCGATTCCTTCCCTGGAGCTAACGTGAGACTGCCTCTTAGATTCTCTGTGTTCTGTGGTTCTTTCTCATAATGTTTCTAAATGAACACAGTCCGTTATCTATTTAAGGCATATTTCCCCCATAATTTCATGGAGGCAGGAACTGGTTCTCTTTTACTTCCACTCCTGCAGGACCCGGTAGCAAAATAATAACATCCGAGGAGTCAGATCTGTCTCAAGCCCTGGTACTGCCGTGGCCAGCTGTGTAACTATGGGCCCCGTTGTCCTTATCTGTGAAATAAGCGTAAAGAAGTAGGAGCTTTCCTTCCTACAGTTAGAGGCTATTCATCCTTCAGGTCTCAGCTCCAATATCACCTTCTCAGGAAAGCTTTTCCCCACAGGGTTGAATGTTTGAATAATTGCACAGCTTAGAAACAATTTCAGGCTGCATGGCTCATGCCTGTAGTCCCAGCACTTTGGGAGGCCAAGGCAGGAGGATTGCTTGAACCTAAGGGTTCAAGGCCAGCCTGGGCGACCTAGTGAGACCATGTCTCTACAAAAATTAGCCGGATGTGGTGCTGCACCCCTCTAGTTCCTGCTACTTGGGAGGGTCACTTGAGCCCAGGAGGTTGAGGCTGCAATGAGCCAGGATTGCACCACTGCATTCCAACCTGGACAACAGCAAGAACTTGTCTCAAAAAAATCACAACTTTATAGCACCACTTTTCTATGCCAAGTACCAAGCTGAGCATTTATATGCATGTTTACATATCAACCTAAAAGTACCCAAGGAAAATCAGACTCTAGGGTTCCTCGTTTTTCCAAAAAGTTTAGGGACCTGTCTGAGGCTGCAGCTGGTCAGAGGCCAGTCTGGTCCACCCAAAGCCAGAGTCTGGCCAGAACTCTTAACTCCCACTAGTGTTTACAAAGGCCATTTTAGGTGACACCAAGACTGGCCCTTTTTTTTTTTTAGTGGTTCTATAGTTTTAATTGATTATTTTAAAATGTAAGCCAGGCGCAGTGGCTCACACATGTAATCCCCGCACTTTGGGAGGCAGAGGCAAGAGGATTGCCCGAGTCCAGAGCTTCGAGAACCACCTGGGCAACTTGGCAAGACCTCATCCCTATAATAAATCAATTAATGAGCTGGATGTGGTGGCGCTCGCCTGTGGTTCCGGCTACTTGGAAGGCTGAGGTGGAAGGACCACCTGAGCCTAGCAGGCCAAGGCTGTGGTGCCCATGATCGTACCACCGCACTGCAACCTGAGACTCCGATTCCAAAAAAAAAAGTATGTGAAACCCATGATGGTGACCATATTGCCTAGGATAAGGCCAGAGTCAATACATCTTTTTCGCAAGGGAGACCATTTACAATAATCCAGGCGGCAGGGAAAATTGTGAAAGTGTGACTTAAGTTTAGGTGACCTAAAGTCAGAGCTGTGGTGGTTGCGAGGGGGATGGGGTTAGGGGAGCAGGCGGCCCCTCGGACCAGACCGAAAATCACCGAGTGCAAACTGGCAAGTGATTCAAATATTTTCGACCGCCTGACTCGGACCCAGGCCTAGACAGAGGAAGGAAAGGGCTGATGCTGGTTAGAACCTAGAGACCCGCCACCTCCTCTGAGCCTGCCCTGTCCCGGGAGAGATGGCAGGGGGGGCCCCAGAGCCCGCTGGGCCTACTCAAGGTTGGGCAAGGTGGGCTGGTCTAGCCCTCCCCCGGCTGCCCCCTCCTCTCGCCTGCCATCTCTTGGCCCCTTTCCCTTCCCCAAGTCGGGGAGGACTAGAGGGCAAGGGTCCCCCGGGCCCCGTCCTCCGAAAGCACGGAAAGAGCCCCTAGAAAGCTGGGGGGAGACGGCGTGAATTCGGAAGGCCTCCCCCAGCCTCCCAGACGGCGGAAGTGCGTCACTGTGTCCGACCCGCAGAGCATTGTGGGAATTGTAGTGAGCGGGGGCGGAGGGCGGGGAAGCCGACTGTGTAACCCTTTAGATACCAGAGCGCGCTGCAGAGTTGGATCAGAGTCGGAAGGCGGGTGGTTACTCCCCGTCTTTAGCAGATGAGGAAGCTGAGCCCGGGGTCTGGCTCGGAATTCCTCAGTCCTCTTCCTTCTCTGGCTGCGGCCGGCCCCACAAGCTCATATCTTGGATTCTAGGGGAGGACGAAGTGCCAAGTGGACAACTCCCCACCCTTCCAGCCCCTCCACCCACACTTGCCAGCTTCCCGTCCTGGGCCCTGAAGTCCTCTCTAATTGGGCCTCCCTGCCCCGCCCCAGGAGTTGCCGCCTTCCTAACCAGCCATCGGCCCGCCTTTGATGGGCGGGGAAACAGGCTCAGAGAGGGCAATCCTTTTTGCCTAAAGCCGCACAGCGAGTCGGAGCAGAAGTGGGATGCCCGGCAGCCTGCCCACCTCCCACAACTTCTGCATCCGCAGGAGCTCTGATCTTTCGTATCGCATCCCTGGCCCCACCCTCATGCCCGAGCTCCTCGGAGCCCGCCGAACCCCTGACCCCGCGGTGAGGCGCCGTCCAGGTTGCGCGCGGAGAGGCGGCGACCCCTCCCGCTCCCGCCGCCGCCCGCCGCCCCTTTAAGGCGCGGGCCCGGCGGGACTACATTTCCCAGAAGGCTTTGCCGGCACGTTATGTAACTTTCCCTGCGAAGCGGCCTCTGGGGCAGAAGGAGGAGGCGGCG